GCAAACGCCACCCCATGTTCTCCCACCACTACGCAATTCAGCTTTTGTGTCACTTTAGGATCTCCTACTCCCTGTGTCTGGCATGCACTAGTCTTGTACATTTCCCACTCAATCAAATAGTTGTCATATGATTGTTGATCTTCTGGATGCCTAAAATATGCCTGTGTACAGTGTACGACATCTACTGGAGACCGCAAGTCCTTGCATCTCTCAGTAATCCATGGCAAAAATGGCTTAACTAGTTCATGCAATGTGTCATTGGATTCTTCACTACCCTCTAGCCAAAAAACTGTGGCTATGTTATCGTCAATTTTTGGTGTTTTAAGATTTTGTTCCTGCTGGAGCAACAGTTCAGTTTCGAGACCACAATCCTGTATTAACATGCCCAACTCATTTGACACTTCAATTTCATTCTGGAAAGAAATATCCAATTTCAAAAGTTTTATCAAATCCCTTCCCATTAGGTTGTGGGGACAGTTTGGGGCTATTAGAAATTCATGTTGGAAAGTCTGCTTTACTCCTGATTTATAGGTAACTGTGCAGTCTAGAGGTTTTGAGTAAAAAACTCTTGTAGCCAAACCATTAAATCCAGATACGATTTTCCACTTTTGAGAGGGCTCTAGACTGCATTTTAATGAACTAAATGTTGCTCCAGTGTCTACCAACAGTTTCTGAGGCTGTCCCTCAATTGTTATTGTGATAAATTTTGGAGCCACGTTAATGCATCCCTCTCTATCTGGACCACGGCATCTTCATTTCGGTAATAAACTGAGTTGATGAGCAGCGACCTCTGGTCTTGACTCTGTCATCTGGTGAGTGGTCATATACTGTGGCTGTGGTTGGCCCAAGACCATTGGCTGTTGTGGTTGTACCTGTTGAGGTGCCTGATACATCTGGTGTATTTGTGGTTGCTGGTATGGCTGTTGCGGTTGTGCCTGGTGCACTTGTGGTTGTTGGTATGGCTGTTGTGGTTGTGCCTGGTACACTTGTGGTTGTTGGTATGTTTGAAATGGAAACTGCTGCTGACCTCCTTGACCCTGCATGTGTTGCATTCCTCCCGTTCTGCAATTTCTTGCTATATGTCCGTACCGTCCACACCTGTAACACTTCATGTTTGATAAATCTCTGTCCTGTCTAAATTGTCCACCACCTCTACCTCTGCTATTCCTGGGGAATGTCTGGAACCTCTGTCCTTGATTTCCATAGGGCATGTATCCATTCATTTGCCATTCATACTCTGGTTGCTGCTGTATCTGTCCAGTCTGTATAATCTGCTGTGGTTGCATCACCTGTGTCTGCGTCTGAGGCTGCAGTGGACTTGGATTACCACTAAACAACATTTCTGCTTTCTCCACTTTTTCTGGCTTTGGTTCAGATTTTTTAATCTCTTTAACTAATTCCTTAATCAGTGACAAACTATCATCAGTTTTGGGGCTGTTTTTCTTCCTAAGTAGCTTTTTAATAGTACAATATGACCTAACAAAAGCTGGCGAGTCAGTATCCAAATTCAGAATGTGTTTTTCCTTCTCAGCTGTCGGTAGTTCCCTGAGCATTCGCTGATAGAACATTTTTTTGATCAAATCATAGGTTGGGGTGGACTCTCTTGGATACAATGCATCAAACTCCTTATTTATTCTATGCTTCATGGCCTCGGCTGTCTCTCCATCTTGCACTTCTAGATTTATGGTTTCCATAGCATTCATGGGCACAGGAATTAACGTTTCCATTTTTTCCATCACAGCTGAATACCATGCTTCCACTGAACAGCTGTTTGTGGCTCGAACTGCAACATTTTCAAATCCTGTGGACATGATTGGAAGATGGACACCGAGAACGGTAGTGAGATCATTTAGGGTTAAATTTTGAGCAGGATAGTGTTCCAGGATTGACAACAAACATGCTCTGCCCCCATACTGCCTTGGGTCTTTCATTCTCATTTTTATAGAGTCAATTTCAGTTATAGTGAGCGGTTTACATGTCCTGATCTCTCTGCCGGACCTAGACGTCGATACCACAATTGGACACATCGACACATCTTCTCCTTGTCTGCGCCTAGCTTTCCTCTTGTTCTGTCGCCTTTCCTGTTGATAATAAATTTCCCCACTCGTACCGTCGTCTTCTGAGTGTTCAGCTGTTACAAACGCATCTGAGCCGGTCATCAATAAATCTTCGTCTGACGAGCTTGATTCTGCATCTATAGTCTGATTAGATCGAGTAAAATAACGATGCTGTCTTTCTTTTCTAACTGTAATCGGCTTCTGAAAGCTGATTCTTAAATCTCTCTTCTTCCTAGCCCCTGAGTGCTGGTCCACTCCCTTCTGGGCCTCTCTGTCTGCGCCCCCCTCGTTCCTCTGGGCTGTCACTCCTCCCGCCCCCTGCTCTCTCAGCTCTGCTCCTTTCTCTGCCTGGGAAGTAATCTCGTCAAATTTGGGACTAGAATGACTAATAAAGTTTTTTCCATTAAAACCATTTGCAAATGAATTTCCCCTAGTCCCTGGGGTATGCTGCAAGTGAGATGGGCCTCCCTGAATCGTGTGGTTTTTAAGCTCACTTTCCAGTCTTGTCAATGTGTCATTAAATTGTCTTTCAGCCACTTGTGCCACAATTTCTCCAACCTGATCAATGTGTTTCTGAAGCTGGGTAGTCTGAGCTGTAACCTCCCGTACCTGCCTGAGCGCCTCTTGGGAGTATTTTTGATCCATACTCTCCTCTCCTGTGCTAGTCACGGTACATTTGATTGGCTCTTCAAATGTAATCAATGGAGCCATTGTTGCAGAATCTTTACTTTTCACTAATTCTGTTAAATCTGGATACAATGGAGCATACGGTGGAGGGGAAGAATCAGGAGCTGTACTTTGCAATTTGGCAGCAGTCATCCATTTCTCATTTAGTTTGATCATCATTGAAATCAGAGTAACCTCATCTGTCAACTTTTGAATTTTCTTATTTTCTAACGGCTTCTCTCTTTGCATTTGAGAACGTTTCTCCAAAACTAATTCTCTTAGTTGTTTCATTAACCCTTCACTTGGAGGTGAATTTGACTTAGCTAAAATACCATCTTTCTTTTTTGATTTTAACCATGTTCTAACGCTCCTTGTTGTTGTATTTTTAATCTCTGTTGTCCCCTCTAAATACTGTATAATCCCCTTTATCCACTCATCTAATGTTACAGATGCCATGTTTTCTACCGTCTAGATTACAAGCCTTGTGTTATCAATATCAATGTAAAGAATCAGCAATTGGGTGCGTAATCTTAGAGCGTCAGATCGTGGTATCTCCCCGTTCGACCACAAAATGTGGTGGGGAAATGTACGCACGAATCGTGACCCCGTCCTACGCGACCCAAATTACTGCGTTCACTGTGACCGTTTGTGCAATGGTCACTTCCACAGAAGACATCAATCACTCATTCACACCAAGAGAAAAATTAAAAAGTGAGAAAAGTTAGACACTGTCCCTGTCCTTTCCCTTATTGTCAATTAATTAAAACACACAGTTTTCTCCTTCAACCATTAAATCACTGAGATTACACACAGTTCACTCCTTTTAACTCATAAATCACTTAGATCCTCACACAGTCCTTTTAGGTTGACTATCAATCACTGAGATAACACACAGTTTTTCTCCTTTTCTTAAGTCACTTAGACTTTAGAATACTATTATCCCAATAAATATAAAATATACTTGCAAGCAAATCCTTCAATATTTACCCTACTTTTGTTTGTTTGTTTTTTTATTTTTAGGTCTCAGGTCAGGTGAAAGGAAAGATTAATTAGTTGGTAACAATCTTACCGTTTTACTTTGGCGCCAAATTAATCTTTTCTCTGACCGGTCCTAGTGTCTCCTGTCGAATCCTGTTCGAGCGACGCCAAGTTCTGCAGTAATTTGTCAGAATTCCCCTGCCCAGAAGCTGCAGAGAGGCCGCAAACACAGCAGCCCTTCGTTCTGCAGGTCCTTTTAGTTCAACAAGAGACAAAAACCAATGTTAAAACAGTAATAGAAATGACAGATACCAAACCTGATTTCAAAAGGTTATATTGAAGATTTGCAAGCAATATTACAAGATAACGGTCTGCGAACACAAGTCTCGCTTCGCGTTCAGATAAGGAGTGGCCCCGGGGACGTCTTTCACCCTCCTGGTCAGAAGAAAAAGAAAAAGCCCCCGTGCCTCCTCCTGTACATCTTTTATACTGTACATCCAAGGTCACTGACATCACAGATTCGTGGACTCTATGACTCCTTCTGGCCAGCTGCCAAAGCCTGCACCTGCTCTGATAACAACAGTTGTTTTTCTCACTTTTCATACAGACTAACCTTGAACTCACTGCTCTTTGAGATTTACACAAACAAGTGCTAATTTGGCAACAGAAACAATACTAAACTGATTTTAGTTTTAACTGGTGCAGGAGTTAATATTCCAACACCTGTTAACGGAGTCAATGGAAAAGCCCGACACATTTCTCCTAATCTTCATCTGAACATGAAGTCATCTGTTTTTGGTTTCTCAACAGAATCACAAAACTAAGTCTTGACACAGTTTTTGAGAATGCATTTGTTTATTTTTGAATGAAGGGAAAAGCTTTACCTCATCAAGCGACTCATCGCTCGACAAGATAAAGGAAAGAAGAACGTTCACTTTGGTTTCTGCGCTGAAACACTGAATATCTGAAGTTTAACCTGTTAGATATTCCTGACTAGTTACACACAACTTTAACTGTAAACAATTACTTTGCCAATTAAACAAGAACTTATTTCTTATCCCATTGGCCAAAAGTTCTTGTGTAAATTAAAATGTGTGAAAACTTTCCAGAAACATCTAAAAGCAGGTGGAACCTCTAAAGTCATGTTAGATCCTCTAGATACTAACTATGTTCACACTGAGATCATACCTCCTCAAGTCACGTATGACTCGACAAGAGAAAGATCTAGTTTAGTGTTGTGTTAGCGTGATGCTAGCTTTGTCCTGAGCACCACGTCTAACACTAATGTCGGTGTTTGTTTTAGAAACACCACCAACTCCTACTCCTCCTCTTCTTCTTCTTGTGAAGCCCGTTGACCTCGTCCTGGAGCTCATGAACCTGGAGCTCCAGAACAGTGTTGTAGTCCTCAGAGGAGGTCAGGTCCTCAGACAGCTTCTGGACCTGCTGCTCCAGGATCAGCCGGCTCTGTTTCTCTGAACACAGCTGTTCTCGATGGAGCTGCTGAAGCTTCTCTTTGAGGACTTCCCAGACGTCTCTGTCGCAGGCAGGACTTTCTGTAGTATTTTGCATCTGGTTGTTCTTTAGTTCCTCCACCTCGCTCCACAAAGCCTCAGTCTCTTGTTTCTCCTGGTGCAGGGCCTGTCTGAGCTCGGTCACCTGATATTTCAGACTTTTCTCCTCTTTGGACCTCTGGGTGATCGTGTCCTGGAGGGCCTGGGTTTGCTCGTCTCTTTTCATCACCTCTTCCTCGAGGTCAAAGTTGGCGACTTTAAGGTCTGCGATCTCCGCCCACACAGCTTCTCTGGCTTTCTCCACTTGTGCACGAAAAGCAGAAGCCTTCTGCTGTTTCAGATGAGTGATCTCACACTCTTTGGCCTCCAGCTCTTTGAGGTGCTCATTCTGGACATTCTCACACTGTGCTTTGAAGGCCCGTATCTTCTCCTGTTCAGTCTGAAGCTTCTCTTTGAGCTTCTCTACCAGCTGCTGCAGAGCACTCTGGGAGGTCTGGGCCTCTCTGGTGGCCTGCTGTTCCTGGTCCAGTGCAGATCTTAGGGCGGACACTTGTGTCTTCAGCTTCTGCGTCTCTGTCTCCTTCTCCTGCAGTTTGCGCTCAGCTTCACTGGTGAGACTCTTCTCCTGGTTCAGGGCAGATGTGAGAGAGTCCACTGTTGTTGACAGCTTATGCGTCTCTGTCTCTAACTGCTCCACATGTCTCTGGGCTGTGACTGTGGCCTGGTCTCTCTCACTTAGATCTGACTGAAGTTGGGTCACCTGAGTCCTCAGTGACTCCTTCTCCTGCTGCTCCTGCTACAGTTCCTGTTGGAGAGCTGTGATCTGGTCCCTCAGAGCGGCCTTCTGTCGGGACGTCTCAGAAATTGCATCCAGGAGTCTCTGTGCTCTCTTTTCCCTACGGTCCAGCATGATTTCGAGCTTAACGTTTCTTTCAGACAGATTGCGTATCTCGTCCTCCACAGCTTCCTTGGCCTCCTGCACCTGGTCACGAAAAGCGTCGTCAGCCTTTTCCTCTAAACTGCTGATGACTTTATCTTTTTCTTCCAGCTCTTTCTTGTGCTGATTCTCAATGTACTCCATCCAGTGCTCGCACTGAGCCTGGTGGCGAGATTTGAAGGCCCAAATCTCGCCTGGATCCCGCTCTACATCCAGTTTGAGGTTCTCTATTTGTGTGAGAAGCTCTTCCTGGGAGGCCTGGTTCCTCTCCTGTTCCCTTTCCAACTGTAGCTTCAGCTCTTGGTTCTGTCTGAGCAGATGTTGAGAGAGGGCCTGGTCCTGCGGAGCGTCCACAGACACAGTGCTATTTATGAGCTGTGTGGGACGCTGCGGCTGGTTCGGGCGTGGCGCCCTGCGCTGCCTACGACGCGGACCGTGGCTCATGTTAATGTTTTCGTTGTGTTTATCCATATTTTGTTGTTTTCGTCTCTGACTTCTGAAGGTGCAAATCTATGCTATTGTCTGAACAGATTTCACTCCCATCAACTGAAACTCCAGGTGGAATCTAATTATGTCATAATGCTGATGTCATAGTTACCATAGCAACAGCTATACTGTGATAACAGCTGGTTTCCATAGTTACCAAAATTGCATTCACAATACTTTGTAGTTAATATATATATTTATTTCTAGGTAAGTGAACCCTAACTATATTCTGAATGCCAGTTAGAGAAAGTAAAAACCAGGCCACACAATGACAAATTATAGCAACAGTTTTTGAAATAGACTTCAACAGCTTGTTCCTCTGACGAACCTTATTTTAAGACAGCCAGGATGAACTCAAATCAAGATTAAAAACACACTAGATTCAAGCCATTTTTTCCTCATATTTTACAACATTCTGCAGTTTATTATTATTACTAAAACATCGGAAAAAATCTCTTGAAAAAAATATATACAAAAATAAGTAAAATACTACTTGAAATAATAAACATGTAAAAATTATCTGAAAATAGAACAAGAAAATATGACTTTGACAAGATTTCTGTCCACAGTCCATCTGAGGTTCTTCTCTCATGACCGAGGAGGCTAATTAGCTGGGCCCGAGCCCGGCCCTGGCCCGAGGGGGTGGCGCCCCAGCCACCCCCGGCCCGATATGGTTTCTAAATTTTCAGGCCCGACTTTATTATTATTGTTTTACCTCCCATAACAATGTTTTAGCGTAGTATATAGTGCCGCGCACTGATATGAACACAGTCTTGGCTAGAGGGCGGAGTTATACATGTTAGTGATGTGTTGCAGTGAGTTCTGTGTGTACGGAGTGAACGGCCGCAGCTGTATGATACACAGCTGTATGATACACAGCTGTATGATGCCCAGATGCCGCAATTAATAGTTACTTATGTAACTTAAGGTCTACGAATAGGTGCGTAGTCCCTTAGGACTTCGCTAGTGGGATATCACGTGACCCCCAGGTCACACGCCAGAGAGATCAAATATATATAAATATGCTCCAATCACTAGCGACTAGGGTTTAATATTTTTCCCGAAAATGAGACGTATCAAATCCCGGGAAAAGACGACGCCTTTCCCGGGAAATCCCGGGAAATAGCTGTTGTTTGTAGTTGTTGTTTTTAGCCCAAGTAATGTATGATATCACTCAAATATATAATCCAACAAAAGCTGCCATCTCCACTAGTGTTTCACCAAGTAACTTGCTAGCTTTTATAAAGTAGCCATAGCGTTTTCAGACGTTTTGTTGATGAGCTTTCTTCAGGAATTTCACTATTATGAGATTCTAAATGTCTGCGCAATCCACTTGTCGAAAAGTGACGTGCGGTGTGGTTTGGAGGCACTGACTTCAGCCCAATCAGATGAACATATATCATATAAATCAACAGAACCTACAGAGCGGCTTATTCACAATTAGTTTGGCTACAGCAGAATGTTTTCCATGGCCCGCATTGTTTGCTCAAACAAAACGCAAAAGTTCGTAAAAGGCACATTTCCAATTGTGTTATGGGTCTTACCTTAGTTATTAATGAACAGCACAGACCACTTCAGTTCAGACCAGTTTCATGTTTAAGTCCATATAATAGTTTGAGCGCAGATATGTAATCCCCCATTTGGAAATAAGCCCAAAGAGTTTTAAAGCGTAAAACAAAACGGGTGCCACCTCCATAAACTCCTCTGTGTGTTCGCTGCAGCCGGCTCTCGGGCGCATCCAATTTCTAATATCAACCTTCTTACCCTTCTCCTCTCTTCCTTATCATTCCTATCGTCATTGTAAGCAGAACATTACCCTAAATGCATTTTATATGATTTTAAAATTTGTTATATGTATGTTAGCCAAACCTGTTGCTGCCCTTAGCAGATGGAAAAAAAGAAAGGAGCTTTCTGATAGAATTGGTCGTAACCAAATTCTGGGCTCACATGTGCCCCGTACCCTGAGCCTGGCCTCATTACAAGTCGTGGTTTAGCGCGATTAAGACCCATATTTGTTGTCAAAAACACAATTTAGGAGCCATCCTCTCAGCTGTAGACATGTTGATTGTAAATGAAATATGTTTGAACTTTGAACAACAATAAACGTGCTTTATAATAGGAGCGCACTGTATTTTTTTTTTTACTTTCATTTCCCGTTTCCCGTCATAACATTTCCCGGGAATCGGGAAATAGTTTTCATCAGATTTCCCGGGAATCCCGTATCCCGGGATTAAACCCTACTAGCGACCCTCCTCTATAAAAGCCCCTGCACAAGGCCGCGCCCCCTCTTGAACTCTGCCAAGCCGGGCTGGCCTGATGGGCTCGTAGCTAAGGGACTACGCACCTATTCGTAGAACTTAATTGACATAAGTAACTATTAATTCTACGTCATGGTGCTACGTCCCTTGGGACTTCGCTAGTGGGACACAACGCGGAGGCTGTAGGAACATGTACTCCCAGCAGGCCAGCGAAGAGTGATTGGAGCCCCGCCCGAGCAAGACTCTCACACAGTGAGAAGACTCAGGGCAGAAGAAAACCAATTGCGTGTTACGGGGCCGCTCCTCCCAAGGACACCCCCGAGTAACACCAACCGAAAGTCATCCGTAGTCCCAGGACGTCTCTCCCAAGAGCTCCTGACGTGGACTACCTAACTGACCGAGAAAGCACACACACACCGCACTCGCAGGACGCCTCTCCCAAGAGCTCCTGAACCAGGGCGGACAAAACCAAACCGTAGACCCCTTCAGATGAGGAAACTCACGGTTTCAACTCAATCCGCTGCACCAAGCATGGAATGGGCCACCGACCGGTCCGACACATCCAAAACGTAAGACCGGACAAAAGAGGAGGAAGAAGCCCAAGAAGCCGCACGGCAAACGTCCTCGACCGAAGCCCCCCTGAGGAGGGCCGTAGAGGCCGCCACCCCACGCGTGGAGTGCGACCTGAAACCCACCGGGGGGCCAGGCCCTGAGCCTGATACGCCAACCGCACAGCAGTGGCGACCCAGTGCGCCAGCCGCTGAGACAACAGCGGGGCGCCCCTGTTCCTGGGGCCCAGACACACAAACAGCTGATCAACCAACCTGAAGGAAGATGTCATAGCCAGGTAACGCCTAAGCATTCTGACAGGACACAGAAGGTGCCGCCGCTCCTCCTCCGGCGAGGCATGCGGAGGAAAGCCCTAATCCTGATCACTCTCGACCTGAAGGCCGAAGTGATGACCTTAAGGAGAAAAGCCGGATTGGGCCACAACTCCATCAGACCGTCACCCCCTCCAAAGGACAGGCAAGACGCATGGACGGAGACCGCACACTTGTCGCCCGCCCTCTTGGGCAGTCTTAAAGCCACACACTCGGGACTCGCCTCCGACACCGGCTCAAAAGGCGGGCCCGACAGACCCCTGAGGACCACCCTGAGGTCCCAAACCGGGGGCGTTCTTTGAAGTGGGGGCCTCCTCCTGCGGGCCCCCCGCAAAAAGCGCTTGACCAACGGTTGGGAACGGGCCGTGAACCCCCCGAAACCACCGTGACCCCGGCTCGTCCGGGAGGGCCCAAGGCTCCATCACCGCCATGCCCCTCTAGGAAGGGGAACCACCGGGCATGTGGACTGTCCGGAGCCACCAGGACCACCGACCTCCCCTCCTGTTCGATCCTCCGCAGCAAGACCGGCAGGAGACGAACTGGTGGAAAAACATACAGAAGGCCCCCTGGCCACGGGTAGTGAGCCAGGGTGTCCACCCCTAGGGTCGGCTCGTCCGCGGCCCTTAAGGCGAACCAGGACGGGCACTGTGCGTTCTCTGCACTGGCGAAAAGGTCGACCACTGGGCGGCCGAACCTCCGCCAGACCTCTGCAGCTATCTGCGGGGCCAGGCCCCACTCGTCCTGGAGTGGACCCCCCCTGGACATTCTGTCGGCACCCACCTTCCGGGCACCCGGGACGTGGCGCGTCCTCAGGGACAGGAGGTGAACCGTCGCCCACAGCAGAATCACCGTCACCATGTGATGGAGAGCGGGGGATCCGGTGCCCCCCTGTCTGTTCAGATAAGACACCACCGTGGTGTTGTCTGAGCAAACCATCACGTGCCTCCCCTGCAACTGAGGAGCAAACTGCAGCAGCACCCTGTGCACTGCCTCCATCTCCAGAAGGTTGATGTGGCGGGCTGAGTCCGACCAGCAGCCTCCTACGGAGCTCTGACCGAGGACCCCGCCCCACCCCTCGAGTGACGCGTCCAGAATTGGACGCACCCCTCCTGACTTCTTTGGCACTAAGAAGAAAGGGGAGTAGGACCCCCTGGTGGCGTCCTGCGGGTCTACCTCTACTGCTGCGCCCCGACTTAGCAGAGAGGAGACCTCCACTTGCAGTGCCACTAATGACCCCCGTACCTGAGAGCGTGCTGCCCGCACGCCCCGGAATGGCGGTGGTTTTTGGGAGAATTGCAATGCGTAGCCTTTGCGCATGGTTTTCTCCAGCCACGGATCCGACAGTAGGCCCTGCTCCCTCCAGATGCTGTAGAAGTCTGTGAGGGGCGGAACGGGAACTGGAACACGAGACGTCACAGCCCCGCCCTCTCCTAGGTAGGTAGGTTCTTTTTATTCATCTCATGAAAATGCATAGCTATACAAAATTCAAAACATTTAAACAAATCATTCAAACAAATCATTTAAACATTTCCATGATCAGAAAGGAGCAGATAGAAGAATAAAATTCTTATATTTTTCTGCCCCCTCTTTTAAAAAAACACAATTAGATGGTTTTGCTGCTGATTCCTCTGCCTTCTTTATCAGAACATACAATATATATATATATATATATATATAACTGCAGGGTGCAAGATGCTGGCAGGGAAGGTCTACATGGAACGCCATAATCAAGTGGCTGGCATAGTGTACAGAAACATCTGTGCAGAGTATGGGCTGGAAACCCCAAGGTCTAAGTGGGAAACTCCTCCAAAGGTGGTGG